TGGTTGTGTGTAGGTCTGGGTTGTTGTGACTGTCTAGGCTTGGTTAAGTGGGTCTGATGGGGATGTCATTGATTTCCTGTCCTCTGTAAGGGAACAGAGACAAACATCCTTTTCTTTGCCCCTGTATTGGAAACCACACTGTCAGCCTCAGCTTTACACTCCTTGAACAGAACATCCTTGGGCTCATCTCCCCTGCCATACACATGCACCCGCACACGCAAACCTGCTATGTATAGAAACACAAGCATTGCTCTCCAATGAGGATGGAACCCAGGGCCATGCACAGGGGGGTGGCCCGGTGGCTAGAGCCCCTCTTGAACCCCCCAGCACTCCCCCACCCCCCACTGAACGTGATTGGTCCCCCCGGTGCCCTCCCAACACCATTGGGCTAGAGTACTGTCAATCTGACAATGCCTAATGCCATTGGATCAGAGCGTTGCCAATCACTGCCTGATGCGCTGCCCATTGTTGCCTGGAAGTTTGATAATGCTCAACACCACTGGATCAGAGCGCTATCATTGCTTTGGCAATGTACAGCCTTTTTACCATGCCAATAAAGCTACTGGAATCTGAATCTGTCAATCGCTGACAGCGATGTGGGGTTTTTCAAATGACTCGACCACAGACCACATCTCTGTGATACGTAAACACTCAGTAATATATTTTTGGAATATCGCCCTGGTCGCGCTGAGTCAATAATTATTCCGATTACTTCCGTGTGACTGATCAAGTTATTATATGTAGCTAGTATGCGTTCCAGATTTGACCGCAATAATAATGCAAAACTGACACTTCAAATCAACTTTTGAATGTCAACTTTTACAAAAAGTAGTCTTTAATTTTCTAAATACTGTATATATCTAAATACATAATCTAATACAAGTAAGTAATTATGTTTGAAAACAATGTTCCCAGCAACTAGGGAATACACAGCCCTGTTTATACATTTAAATATAGGGCTATACAATCATGTAGTGGTTACACCATGGTGTTCCTGTAGCTCAAACAGCAGAGCATGTTGCTAGCTATACCAAGACAAGGATTTGATTTCCAGAAAATGCAAAAACTGATAAACGTATGTTACATACTTGAAGCAGATGTTACACTGATTAATTACACCAGTGGAAACCTATAAAGGTTAAAAGGGCCCAGAATCAAACCCTGGGGTACACCACATTATCACAGTATACCCAGTATATTATTTAGATTTTCCAACTCAAATTGTTTTTCATAACAATCAGTGAGATAGTGTGAAAGACCTGTTGTGTTATTAGTTTAACCGGTAACTAACTTGTTTGTTTGTTTTACTATTAAACACTCTGAAATCTATTCATAATTCCCAAATTTGTTTAAAGTGATACTAGGCAAAATCTCATTAGGATATTCCTTCAATTTGTATTTTTTACTCTCAACAGAGCCATGGTAAAAAAGGGAGTGTGCTTCTGTACAGCCACACCTAGCAACACACTACTATGGGACATCACCCTTGACACAGGCCCAGATGGAAGTGTTGGAGTAATCTGTCAGAGAAAGTCATCTACAAACGTGAAAAGGTGAGTGTGTCTATTAAGGGAAATTGAATTAATTACTTTTAATCAGATGATTAGGCAGTGATTAACCAACTTACTGTCATTGGCGATTTTTTTTTGGGTGAACTATCCTTTTAAGAAAATTCCTTTTCTCAGAATTAACTACACTTTTCTATGCTATATTTGAAATAACTTTTAACCAGCTGGTATCAAGCTTGGCAATTATTTGTTCTTTTAAGCATAAACCTATAGACCAATTTGGTGTTTGCAAAAATTGATGACATTTTTTTGAAGGCGGAGCCTATCTGGTGGCAGAAAATGACAGTTTTAAGGTAGCAGTCTACAGAAGCCATGGAATAAAAGAATAAAAAAGGTAACTTTGAGTTTGTATTTCAAAATTCTGACTTTTTTCTAGCAATTCTGAGATTATATCTCACAATTCTGATAAGAAAAATCAAGTCGTCATTCTCTCTTTTCCCCTCGGCTCAGAATCATGAGTTTATAATCCCACACTTCTGGCTTTTTTCCCCTTCAGAATTGACAAACTTGCAATTGTTGAGTTCAATTGAGTTATAAAGTTCGAAGTAGGAGATTTAAACTTGCATTTGCGAGAAAAAAGTTTGAATTGTGAGATAAAATAGGTAAATGTTTAAATAGTTGTCTATTTCATGCTGTAACTGCAGGGCTAATACAATATGTCCCCTATGAACTACATATGTGAATATTATGTAGACCTATTGTTTAAATCAATTTTATGCTTTAAAAGTTGGGTAATCATAGCAGGTTTCATCCATAGTCTGTCCGTTTAAACATCTGCGTTAAGGTTCAAATGGCATCTTTGACGACAGTATTCTATAAAAATTATTTGCATTCCGTTTCTGACATCCAAAGGCACAACAATACATTTTTTTTCTTATTCCATGGATTTTACCCATTTCCCTCCACTTGTTCCCAGTGTTTTTCTGGCACCACAATGTGCGCAGCTGCATGTGACGTAACTGTGATGTCTACTCCAAATTGGTCTATAAAATGTTCTTCACATTTGCTTCTGAAAAAAACTTTAACTTGTTTTAAAAGTGTTTAGATATTTTTAAGTAAGTGGAGTGTTATCTCTCTATGGTCAGTAACAGTCTCAAGTATCTATGTCTTTTTGAGAGAATGTCGCATAGTCCTTGTTTTGTATTTTCCTCCCTCGTTGACAGTTATTAGGATGGTTTGTTTTACTAAATATGTTCAGAAATTAAATTTGTGGTGTCTAATTCACATTTTAAAGCATTTGTATTCCAGTAAGCACTTTAAGAGTTTAAATGAGGTGAAAGTGATTTCTGAATAAAGGATAGCCTAAATTGTTCTCAAATATTGCTGCTGAGGCAAAGACGTGTATCCGTCAGTAATCTGCTTTTTATTTTTGATAGTGCTTGATGCGTAAAAAAAAAAAACCTATGGTAGACATCCATATTCAAGCAGTAGGATTAATGTTACAATATTCTGTGATTTAAACATTTCAACTTAAATCAGTTTTAAGAATAGTAATAGATAATTCTGTTTGTATGACATTAAGACATTTTTTACAATAGTTTGTGGAATAATGTTGAATGTCATTCATTCATTAAAGGGGTCATATGATGCGATTTCAAGTTTTCCTTTCTCTTTGGAGTGTTACAAGCTGTTCGTGAAT